ACATAAATAACACATAATAAATAATACATTGCAAATAAAAACAGATTTTTTACTGAACTGATATTTTACGCATTCTTAGTTTGTATACAGAAAAACAAAACAACATACCCAAACTATGTATGTTCCAGGGAATAACTGGTGACGGCCTCTCTTTTTTACCCTGTCCGGTACCAGTAAATCTAATTCTTGGATGATAAGACAATATAAACCAAAACGCTGGGGCATTTATTTTACATTTACAGTAATCAGTCTTCAATTTTTAAATGTTCGTTAGCTCCATGTGTAATTTTACAATTCATTTTGACGATTTAAGTAATCTATGACCTGAAATGAAAACGATAAAAACTCGCGCCTCAGAAGATAATGAACACGTGAAATAAATTCTGGACACAGACAATAAAAGGGAAGAGATTGACACAGATCTTCTTGAAATTAAAAGATGACTTGCCATATAAGAAGAAAGATTGGTTAATTATAGAACTCTAGCACCAACAAGTTTATTTGGTCAAACTTCTGCTTCATTTCATGATAATAGTGAATAAAAATATATAAATTTACTTTCTCAAACAACTTATCTTGAACGCATCTTCACTAAGAGGCAAAATTTTTGGAGAGTTGTATTTTTTCTATCTCAAAGTTTGTCTGGCACGTGAGGAATTAAGATCATTCCAATCTGATTTGTGCAACTGTATAAAAGTAGAAAAAAATCTCGTTTTGTTTTCTCTGCCTCTGATTCTATCTGATCTGTAAATCCTGGTACATCTTTGAAGACTTTTCCCGATTTTAAGTGCAAATGAAGGAGTTGAATAGAGATATGTATCTTCACTAAACCCAGCAAGGGACTTCACGCAGGTAACTACATGGTTAAACCCAAATAGATCCATTTCATGCAAAGTGAACTCAAGGATTAAAATATTGAACATTATTTTCAATATACCTCAAGTTTTGTAAATCAATCAGTTAACTAGAAAAAAATCTTGCACGTTAGTGACCTTTCGACCTTATATTTTCAAGCTTTGCAAGACAATTATTTCAAAATCTCTCAATTTCATGGTCACATTTATCAACATTCTTGTGTCAGGGGTATTCATTTCATATAAGAAAAATCATAACTAGGAGGTCACTACTGGAAACATCTACACTATGCCTGTTATTGCATCATTGAGTAAACAAAATAAGACAGACCTGACATTTTTTCCTTACAAATAAAATACTACCGAACTCTATGTTGTACAATACCGTGACAAACAGTATAAGCTCTTTTTTTGAGTACATCAAGACACTTTTTTCCCTAAAAACGGGTAGCAACTTTTCCTTCACCATGCCCTTGGCACTTAAAAGTGAAAGTTGCGGGTCCTCCCGATGAGACCTTAAAAACCGAGACCCCGTGTCAGCGGCAGGCGTTGGCACGATAAGAATCCCTCACTGCTCAATGGCCTTGAGTGCCGAGTAAAGGTAAAAATTTGTCGCCGGTATATTGATTGATTGTATATTGTTTAACGTCCCTCTCGAGAATTTTTCACTCATATGGAGACGTCATCGTACAAATGTATGCCGGAGAAGGGCTTCAAATTTTGACCTTTACTCGGCACTCAGAGCCACTTAGCTCAGGTGAGCTAAAAAGTTAAAATCAAAATAATGCACCTACCTATCATATTTTAATATTCAAAATAATAGGAAACAAGTATTATTTTTGGCCTTAAATACATATATTTCCAAATATATTACTGTCTGAAACACAAGAAAAACTAACCTCTGCTTTTGGTTACAGATGTCGGAGATTTATCAATCAAAGACCTCGGAGTACAGAATTCTAAAGATTGGAACAGCAACTGTGAAGATGTGGGGGAAACAGGCCCAGCTTTCCCCCACAATTAACACAAATGTGCAGCCCACTTGCTTGCAAGTGGCCTCCTACAAGGAGCGTAAAGAACTCCACTCAACTGCTAGCACGGAAATAACAGTATGTATTAAATTTTGCATTTATAATATTATCCTCCAATTGTTCAATCATCATTAAAAGATTAAAATGCAATGAAAATGATCATGTCAACTTTAGTATAGGATTTCAATGATTCCTTCTATTTCTCATCTTTATAAAAATTGAAACAATACATACTGTAAAAATAATACAATAGAACTATGTTAAACTTTGATTCACCATTTCCAGTGTAGTCTCACTTTACCTCAGGGCATAATAACTAACAAGAGGCCCAGGGGCCACGGCGCTCACCTGAGCACATCAGCTAGGAAAAAACACATCAGATCAGAATTGAAAGTTAATTAAATTAACTTAAGTTGGAGGGGGCTTGAAATTTATCCCCCCCCCCACCCCCCAGGGGATCATAATTTCAATGAACTACAATCTATATTACCTGAGGATGATTCCATATAAATATTACTAATCATGGCTTTGGAATACTTGAAAAGAAGATTTAAAAAGGTTTCCCTATATATTCCTACGTAATACTTTCATCGGCCATTTTGGCTCCACCCTACCCCCGGGGGTCATAACTTGATTGAATCTACACTACCTGAGGATGATTCCACATGAGTTTCATCTTTCCTGGCCAAGTGGTTCTTGAGAAGAAGATTTTTAAAGATTTTTCCTAAGTAATCCTATGTAAAACTTTGATTGGCCATTTTGGCCCCGCCCTATTCCCCGGGAGTCATGACTTGAATAAACTTGAATCTACATTACTTGAGGATGATTTCAAATGAGTTTCATCTTTCCTCGCCCAGTGGATCTTGAGAAGAAGATTTTTAAAGATATTTCCTATATATTCCTATGTAAAACTTTGATCGGACATTTTGGACCCGCCCTACCCCCGGGGTTCATGACTTGAACAAACTTGATTCTACACTACCTGAGGATGATTTAACATGAGTTTTATCTTTCCTGGCCCAGTGGTTCTTGAGAAGAAGATTTTTTTAAAATGCCATTAATTTTTCTTTAATTCATGATTATCTCCCCTTGAAAAAGGGCGTGGCCCTTCATTTGAATAAATTTGAATCCCCTTTACCCAAGGATACTTTGTGGCAAGTTTGATTGAAATTGGTGCAGTGGTTCTTGAGAAGAATATGAAAATGTGAAAAGTTTACAACGACAACAACGACGACGACAGACGACGGACAAATTTTGATCAGAAAAGTTAACTTGAGCCTTGGGCTCAGGTGAGCTAATAAATGGGTATGACGTATGTGAATTTTGATCTCTCAGTCAGAGTACATTAAACATGTTAAACAAACCATTATGGTTGGCTAACTAAGGGAAAACACATGAACATTCATATTTTGATTTTTCAGGAGAAGCAAGAACTTGAACAGATCATTTCAGGGATGATCACGAGCATCGATTTTGAAAGGTGAGTCCAAGTGAACAAGCTGTGTATATATATACATATCAAAAATCCTATAATCCCAAGGAAATTCAGAGTAAAGGAAATTCGAGGAGAGCCAGGGGACCAAACTGCCGTACGAGTTGAAGTCGCTAAAAATCGTGTAACAGGTGAAATTGCATTACTTCGCATGAGAGCAGAAAACAATCAAAAGGAGGTTATAGAACTAGATCAAGAAATGGAACAAACGCTGAAGAACAATGCCAACGGAATTATTCTAGATTTACTTCGAGATATGTGGAAGTCAGAGTGCCGAAGAGAAGAAGATAAATCTTACAATAGATGGAGATATTCAGAGGCTTGGTTACTTGATTATGAACGAAAATATGGCAAAGAAGTTGTTAAAACCAAGAAGCCAAGCAAAAAACAAGCACCAAAATTGTTCTTGAGATTTATGGTTTTTTTTTTTGTAAAATTGTCATTGTTTTGGGATCGGGTTCGGGCTTCAGTATATTGTTGTAAAAACATTGTGTATTCGTTAAACCGCATGTTCGGAGATTAAAGTTTTGAAACAGAGAAATCGTTGTTTATCGGCAACAAATGGTAGCAGAGCGTGGTTATGGCAAGTAAACAAGAAGGAGAAAACGTTCCTGCAACCTCGGAAGCGCAGAAAATGGAGAAAGACGAAAAAATAATCGACGAAATGAATAGTGAAAAAACGAAAGTAGACGTCGCTGGAGTATCGGAGGGAAAACTGGACCTCGACGACATGAAACGTGAAAAAACAAAAGCTAAGTCACAGTTTACTCGAGCTAAACACCATTTATTAAATTTACTGGATCAAGATTTACCCAGTCGCAGAGAACTTCGCACAGCGAGGCAAAGATTTATTGATTTACAGGAACCTGTGATGAATTATTTACTGTCGCTCTCTGCAGAGTACAAAAAGGCAAGTGACATGAAAAACTTAGCAAAAACAAATCAAGAAATTGATCTTATAGAAGAGACATTTGAAAATTGTCAAGAAAGAGTGCAGGAATATTTAGATTCACGGCGAAGCGAGGCATCAAGTATTAATACAGGGTCTCTAGGAGGCAGCGTAGACATTTTGAATCACGAGGAAATTCAAGTTAGGAAAAGAGCGGAAACAATTCGGAAGGAGGTACAAAAGGTTGAAGAAGCTAAAAGAGTATTGGAGGAAGAATTCCAAGCAAAGCGAGAACAATTAGCACAGTTAAATGAAACTATTCAAGAGGGATACAAAGAACTTGAAGAAGTGGAGAATGAAGTACAGAGGATGCATGAAGAGAGTGTTGGTTACCAAAACCCATACACTGTGACAACATCCTCGACCGAGAAACAAACTAGTAAGAATTCCATAAATCAGCCTACAATTGGTAATGACATGTGGAAACAACTGAAAAGAGTGTCAATCCCTGTATTTTCTGGTGACAAGCGTACTTATGAAAGTTGGAAAGCAGCCTTTTTAGCATGCATAGACAAAGCTCCAGCAACTCCAGAGTTGTTACAGCTTAGACAGTATCTATCTGGTGAGACTCTGAAAGCCATAGAGCCATAGAGAACCTTGGACACTCTGCGTTCGCTTATGAAGCAGCAAAGGACCGCCTTGACAGAAAGTTTCGAGGCCAGAGACGGCAAGTTATGCGTCACCTGGAACAGTTAGAGTCATTTAGACCAATTCGCGCTGGAAATTCAAAGGATCTAGAGAAATTTGCAGACATACTGGATGTAGCTGTTGTTAACCTAAAGGATACAGGGTGGACAGATGAACTTAAAAATGGCTCTTTGTATGTGAAGCTGCAGAAGAAAATCCCAGAGACCATGTTATCTACATATCACAGATGGGTGTTCGAAAAACTTTACGAGAATGGGTCATTCAGGAATCTGAATTTCGAACTGTCGCCAATGAGACTGTGTATGGTCTACAAATGGATTCTAACAATAATTCGGACGGGAAAAAGTGTGTCAGTAACCGAATACATCAGAAAGCATTCTTTGGAAATGCTAAGACCTTTTCAAAAATATGTCAGATGTGTCAAGGACAACAAGAAACTTGATGTGTCTCAGAAGTGGAAGTTTGTTCGTGAGTCAAAGTTGTGTTATCGTTGTTTGGGAACAGGCCATTTCGGAAGTTCATGTAAGAAGAGTCGATCATGCGGTATTGACAATTGTTCCGAAACGCATCATAGACTTCTGCACAATGGAAACCATAATGCTAACCGGAGTGCAGACAAATATCAGCACGGCATTTCCACATCAGAGTTGAGGCAAAACGCTCCAGGATTTTACCCACATAAAGAGACTCAGAAACCGAATCCCTCAGTTAATTCTGTTGAAGATAAAAATTGTGACACCCAGAGATCAGTGAAGCATGACAGAACTTTAACGTGTCATGGAGAGGAGCCACAGTTCATCGCATTAAGAACTATTCCAGTTATTGTAAGAAATGGGTCAAAGACAATAAGAGTTAATGCTTTGTTGGATGACGCAAGTACACGAACATATGTCAATTCAGATGTTGCAGCGGAACTTGGCCTACATGGAAAATTGCAAAGAGTGACGGTTGGAGTTCTTAATGACAAAACTGAATCATTTGAAACTATGCCTGTAGAATTCCAAATAGAAAGCACTGACGGCAGGATTAAAACAAAGGTGGAAGCCTTGACAGCAGACAAAGTTACTGGTGATATGTGTGTTGTGAATTGGAGGGAGTATCAAAACAAATGGAATCATTTGAAAGGACTAGAATTCCCAGTGCTAGGTAAACATCAACTTGTGGACATACTAATTGGAATAGACAACAGTGAACTTCACTATGCATATCGAGAAATCAGAGGTCGACCTGATGAACCAGTAGCCAGGCTTACTCCATTAGGATGGACTTGTGTGGGGAAGATTTATGGTACCAATGAGAAATGTGTTCAGACTCACTATAACAGAACTTACTTCCTGCACAGCCAAAGGAGTGAAAAAGAAACAGACAAAATCTTGTGTAAATTCTGGGAGATGGAAGATTTCAGTGAGCCAAAGAAGAAACAGTTGTTCAGTCCAGAGGAGCGTGCCGTATACTCGAAAGTGAAGGAGTCGCTTAAGTTTGTTGTGGACCATTATCAAGTTCCTATACCTTGGAAGACAGATGCACGGAATCTGCCAAACAATTATGACATGGCACTCCAAAGATTAGAAAATACAGAAAAACGATTGATGAGGAATGAGGAAGTGAGAGATTCGTACTCAAAGACTATTGAACAGTACATAGAAAAAGGATACATCCGCAAAGTTGACCGTGATGAAGAGAAATCTGGGACGTGGTATCTTCCACATTTTCCTGTTATTCGACCAGACAAGACCACTACAAAATCCCGCATTGTCTTTGATGCTTCAGCTAAGCATGGTGGTGTTTCACTACATGACATGATCTACTGTGGCCCTAAGCTTTAGAATGAACTCTGACGTACTACTTAGATTCAGAAGGAATAGTGTGGCACTTGTTTGTGACATTGCAGAAATGTATCTTAGAATTAAGGTTCCTGTGAAATATAGATCCTATCAGAGATTTTTGTGGCGTGACATGATGTTAGATGCAAGACCAGATGTGTATGAATTTAGCAGTGTTGTGTGTGGGATGAATTCATCACCGTTTCAAGCACAACTTGTTGCACAGACACATGCAGAGACTTATCTTTTCGGCCTATTGTTGGAGGCCCTACTCTACCCAAAGACTAAGCCATTTGTTAGATATTTTGCTGAAACCATTCTGTGAAAAGGTACCAAGTTTCATTAGAGATGATCTTGACTTCCTGAATCATTTACTAGACGTCGTTAAGGATAATACTAAATTAGTTACGTTTGATGTTGTTAGTTTGTATACTAACATTCCAACGGAACTCGGAATAGAAGCTATAAAATTCTTGATAGAAAAACATCCTAACCTTCTTCACGATCGCTTACAACAAGGATTTGTCCTTCAAGGATTGAAATTACAGTAGTCCTTCAAAATAATACGTTTGCCTTTGATAATAATCATTTTTTACAAACTAAAGGAACTGCCATGGGAAGAAAAGTTGCACCGACGTACGCAACACTTACTCTAGGATACTTAGAATTCAAACTTCACCAACGACTCATAACATTGTGGGGAGAAGATATAGCCAATAACCTTCAATCTTAATGGAAAAGATTTCTAGATGAGTGCTTTATTTTATGGGATGAAAGTGACGAAAAATTAGACGTTTTCCGTAAAATATTAAATGAGTTGAATGCCAACATCAAATTTACGATAGATACCAGTGATAATGAACTACCATTCCTAGATGTTCTCGTTGTTAAAAAGGACACAAGGATTGTTACTGACATATTTTACAAAGTGACGGATACACACCAATACTTACATTTTGGTTCCTGCCATCCGCATCATACCAAAACATCAATTCCTTATAACCTTGCCAGACGTATATGCGCCATTGTCAGTGAAAAAGGTACAAGGGACATTCGTTTAAATGAACTAAGAAATATCCAGTTCAGCTTATAGATGATGGAATACTTAAAGCCAAGGAACATGAAAGATCGGAATTACTTTTAGCCAAAGGACGTGAAGTTAACGAGAATATTATTCCCTTTGTGCACACGCATAATCCCCGGAACCAGAACATCAACCCCATTTTTCACCAACTGAACACAATTCTCAGAGAGGACGAAACTACAAAGACAATTTATAAAGACGTAAAATTTATCTCAAGTAGACGTCAACCCAAGAACCTGAAAAGACTCCTATGTAATTCTAATTTTGAAGGAACTTATTCAGTGACTAAATGTGGAAATCCCCGATGCGGAACCTGTGATTTTTTAACTGAAGGATCTTGTTATAACTTCAACGGCAGAAAATTTACAGTGAACGCCAATATGTCGTGTAATACACAAAATGTTTTATATGTGATATTAACCTGTCCAAAGTGTAGTGAATTTTACATAGGTGAGACCAGTTACACCCTCCGTACTAGGGTTCGTACCCACAAGCAACAGATTAACACTCCAGAGTATAGACAAATACCATTAAGTGAACATTTAGACGTGTGCGGACAAAAGAATTTTACGATATTTCCGTTGTATAAAGTAGCAGGAGGAAATGATATTTGTAGACGCCAAAAAGAAAATCATTTTATTTGTGCGTTAAAACTTAAGCTTAACAATCTGATGTAATGTATATCTATTAGATTTAATTATGTATGCATATGTTTATCTGCATTTTATTAAGAACTTGAAAATTTCCCGTACTTATACCTGTACGTAATGAGCTGCTAACTATGACGTCATAATTCATTTGACTTCATAATAACGACGTCATATACTCCGCCAATTATTGTGTAACGTTACTTTGTCACATATCTGCGGTGATTTTCTTTGATCTTTCTGTGGTGATATATCCCATATCACATATGCGATAATACTTTCCACGCCCCTTCATATATCACTGCAGAAGGCAGAAATCAGGTCATGAGAAAAAAAACTGATTTTATTTCACAAGTTCCTAACCAGAGAAAAATGAACATATTTAGCTATTTCTTAGCCTTTAACATAATTAAAATACGTGTATTTAACTCGGTTGAAAATTCACAGTCCTTAAAAAGATTAATCCATTTTGAAATTTTGAAAGTTGCGGTAATATCTCCAAACTTCATATAGTTAAACTCCTTGATATTTGCTTCTGTGATTTTATATTTGTCGAGTGCCTGGCTCGATGATAAATTCTCAAAATCTTAAAACTCACTAAAAAAACTTATTTAGTGACTAAATGTGGAAATCCCCGATGCGGAACCTGTGATTTTTTAACTGAAGGATCTTGTTATAACTTTAACGGCAGAAAATTTACAGTGAACGCCAATATGTCGTGTAATACACAAAATGTTTTATATGTGATATTAATCTGTCCAAAGTGTAGTGAATTTTACATAGGTGAGACCAGTAACACCCTCCTTACCAGGGTTCGTACCCACAAGCAACAGATTAACACTCCAGAGTATAGACAAATACCATTAAGTGAACATTTAGACGTGTGCGGACAAAAGAATTTTACGATATTTCCGTTGTATAAAGTAGCAGGAGGAAATGATATTTGTAGACGCCAAAAAGAAAATCATTTTATTTGTGCGTTAAAACCTAAGCTTAACAATCTGATGTAATGTATATCTATTAGATTTAATTATGTATGCATATGTTTATCTGCATTTTATTAAGAACTTGAAAATTTCCCGTACTTGCACCTGTACGTAATGAGCTGCTAACTATGACGTCATAATTCATTTGACTTCATAATAACGACGTCATATACTCCGCCAATTATTGTGTAACGTTACTTTGTCACATATCTGCGGTGATTTTCTTTGATCTTTCTGTGGTGATATATCCCATATCACATATGCGATAATACTTTCCACGCCCCTTCATATATCACTGCAGAAAGCAGAAATCAGGTCATGAGAAAAAAAAACTGATTTTATTTCACAAGTTCCTAACCAGAGAAAAATGAACATATTTAGCTATTTCTTAGCCTTTAACATAATTAAAATACGTGTATTTAACTCGGTTGAAAATTCACAGTCCTTAAAAAGATTAATCCATTTTGAAATTTTGAAAGTTGCGGTAATATCTCCAAACTTCATATAGTTAAACTCCTTGATATTTGCTTCTGTGATTTTATATTTGTCGAGTGCCTGGCTCGATGATAAATTCTCAAAATCTTAAAACTCACTAAAAAAGTCAAATCAAATTCACCAAGAACGTCCGACATGTTGGAGAGCTACCTTGAAATGAATCTTTTTTTTTTTATTATTGAATTTTGACACTCTCAATGAAATTTACGTCATCAGACATGCGACAAGTTGCTTACATCATAGATGCCTCGTACTATTGGTTATATCGTTTTCATGGGGCGTGGATATCTCGATTTCCACGCCCCATGAAAACAATATAATCAATACTACTCGGCTTCTATGATGTAACCTATACATGTTACTACAGTTGTTTTTTGTAAAGCTTCTGAAGATAGAATGAAAGGCCTAAAGCTTTACTGAAGTTTTTCGTGTTTTCCTTTTTAGCCGGGCTTATTGCTCAAAGAGCAATTGCCGGCTTATGTGATCCTGTTCAAGCCAGGATGTTGACCCCATAGTCGCCATTTTAAAGTTTCGTGCAAAAATATAGTTCTTACTCTCAACCGCTTTTGAGATAATACAAACGCTAAATAAAGCAACAAAAATAAAACGAAGTTTCTATAAAATAAACATTAGTAGTAATGACTTTAAAAAATTCACAAGTCAAAGAACATAGTTCATTAGCGTAAGGATTTTCGATAATCAGTATTACTGTAGTTCTCTATACCTACGAGGTAAAGCAGGAGAGGGAACCAGACTGGCCTGTTTGTTTACATTCAGCTGCGGTACCAGATTAATTCTGATTCTGACAAAATCGGACCGTGGTATTAGGATTGAAAAACTCACTGTCAGTGTCTTATCATTTATATTGATAGTTTTAAAATAATTTTTTCATCAGAATATAAACGTGATTCATGTAAGAAATCCATTCTACTTTGTAAATGAGCCCGGCTTTCTGTACTTCTGAGTACTTTGATTTATATTAAGTATTTAATACCGACTACTGAGACTTTTTATTGGATTATCTATATTCATATCATATATATCTGATATATATATATACATTTATATCTTACATTTACAACATTTATGTCCTACATTTACAACATACTGGAAAATACATTGAAGTTAAACAAGAGGCTCGTATGCCACATCGCTCACCTGAGAAGCTTTGACCATTCTGTTATTTACCAGATTTACCAAGTGTCAATCACCTACATGGCAAGAGCCCAAACAAAAGAAAAGCACCACGCAATAATGAAAGTGTATAATCAACTAAATTCATTTAAATTTGTGTATTAAAGAAATCAAAATGGAAAATATCCTACCTACCAACCTTATTTTATTTCAGCTTGTAACTGTAAAGAAACTTATTTTTATTGTCTTTTACAATACTTCCATTTAAACATTACTAATCATGTCTTTGCTTTTCTTAAAAAGACTTTTAAAGCTTTTTTCACTAAATATTACTTTGAAAAAACCTGATTGCCCATTGCCCCCCTCCACAAATTCAGTCCTAGAGGTCCTTATTTTAACAAACTTAGAGTAAATCCTTACTATGCAATAAAGCTTTCACATAAGTTTCATTATTTCTGATTTTTGAGAATTTAACCAAAAAAAAGGTAGACTAGAGTAATTAGTGGACCCACTTGCACCAAAGGATATATGCCAATAGAAAAATTTGATGAAGATTTAACTATTTAATATGACAGTCATAACAAACATCAGACAATGAACAAATTTTGTTCAGAACACTTTATGAGTTCCATTCTTATTGAAGAAGCAGCTGTCAAC